GAACAATAATATTTATGTAGTAATGTGTAATTGTCGATAAAATGTGTCTTAAAGTAATTGATATACTTTTCGAAAGAATACGAAAATTGAGACGGCATAAATTTTATTAAAATTTAACGACTTGGAGTTTAATATACTTCTCACAAACTACTTTCCACGACGATCGTAAAAACGTATATTCATTTTTATATTTTTATATTTTCATAATTTTCTCATATCTACCGTTCCAAATGCACGCACAGTGATTTACTCGTTATTTTTGGATATAAAAGACGTATTTCGCCCACTCGTTTGGTTATAAATATTTGTATAAGCAAAATATTTGTCGAAAAAAATACGTCCAAGTTCTTTTAAGCCCGAATTTCGAATTGTCGATAAAACATTCTCCTTCCATTTTAAAGTGTAATCATTGAAAAATTAATATATCAGGCCATATAACAACAATATCCGATAATTCGTATAAAGTAATGCAAATGTTAGGCATTAAAATTTGAATTTGAAAATAATGGGTTTCGGGAGTCTCGAGGCCCTACCTCAAACACAATTACGAACGAAATATCATACAAAATAATCACTTGTACTTTCTCGCTGCTGAGCAGCATCTCGAAAAAGTAGAAGCAAATCAATCAAACCGAAAACTATAATGGCTCTGGTTGGTAACGGGCTCGCTCTTTCCTTTTCCCATTTGTCATCATCATCCTCCTCGCCGCCATGGCGGCAAAAACTCAGAAAGCACCGGTGACCCCCTCGTCTGTGCCCCGCTCCTCGTCTCACGCTGATTCGCCGAGGCTTTTTGCGCGCGCGACGTACCTGCAATAAACGAGGCCGTCCCTCTGTCCGAAATGGTCACCCTTGTTAAGCGGTGTGCCGCATGAGGCGCACGTGAAGCAGGCCACGTGGTAAACCAGGTCCCGGGCTCGCATCACCAATTCTGTCGCGGATATGCCAGCACGACAGCGCGAACATCTCGACACCGCGAACAGCCTACGAACAAGAGACACTTTTTATCCTCTCGACCTGCTTTCCTTGCGACTTGATACAGTTACTGATTAGTCGAAAGTTAACACTTGTTGAATGCGCTTGTTCGCTCGATGATCGAAATCCATCTCCACTTCTTGTGAATAAGTGTTTGTCAGGGTAGGAATATTTTCAGATACTCCCATCTACCTGAATCAGGATATTTTCAATTATTCCGGGACGTGGACGTTACATTAAAAGCACATTGCTCGTAATTCATATAACGTTTCAATTATATTCTCGATTAATTTCATTATTATTCTGAATAATGAAACTTTTTTCATGCACGCTATTAATACAATTTTCAACGTCTCTTTTTAATCAAGTACTTCATACACTGCGGTGTATGTTTGCTTGCGTCTATGCTTCATGTATGGTATAATAATTTTTCTACTACGGTAAATACAATGTGCTGCACTCTATTCTTTACTATGCATCGTACATCGTACAAAGTAACTAAAATATCATGATTGCACATCGATACGCGAATATACGTATCAAATATCAACCATTATTAACGGCTTTCTCAGCAATATTTTTTAACACATTACGGAAGTTTTTTGTTATTAATTCATTATTAATTCGTAATAAATATTCATTACTGAGCATTGCTAAGGAATGAAAAGAAAAAACTGTAGCTCATTAAATCTCACTTATATATATATATATATATATATATATATACCGTTACAAAGTTATTGTATTTAATGCGATTTAAAGAATTAAAATAATATTTAAAAAATTTCGATAGTTTTTATAGTACAAAAAAGAAGACAAAAAAAAAAAACAAAAAAGAAGAAGAGGAAAAGAGTATTTCAATGTAGGTTAAGTAATTATAATTAAAGTTGGAAATTCAAAATATGTAAGACTATTATTGCATACGCGGCTGCTAATGAAAATACATAGATAAGTATTAAGCCACTGCAATTCTATCGATATTTTTATTTATATTCGCGTTGTTTTGAAACATTACCAATTAATGCACATTTTCCTAATAACAACGGAAACATTGTCATCGTAATAATAAAAGAAAAACAAAACAAAAGAGAAAAGAAAAGCAAAACATTTTCATGATAACTAAGTATCGGATATTTAATATTATGAATCAATTTCAGGGCACATTAATCACCTCCTTGAATACGTTTATATATTATTTTTAAATGTATCGTGTACAAACTCTTGGTTAAGATTTTCATTGAATTTGCATTAATCACGTCATGCATCGCTTGGTAATGAGAGCGTGTATGAATTAAAAAAATTTGACTGCCGCAATTAAGAATAATTATAACTTAAATATGCGTTTGTATAAATGAAATAATATATTGTAAAACATAAAGTATCGGGCAGTTAAGATGGAGATGAAATGAATGTCAGAGTTACGGGTACTGAATCGATTGCCATTATATTGTAAAAAATGAGAGACGAAGATAAAGGAAGGCAAGAATAGATAACACTCAAAGAAATATGAAAATTAGTAGAAACTATGTATATTTTCTATCATATTATTGTCTCTTTATGTTTTTCTTCCCTCTCCCCGGGCAATCTGACTAGCTCTTTCACTCTCTTTCTCTAATTTCGAAAACCATATAAAGCCTTACTTAACATTAACTAATTTTACTGAAATTTCTATGAATTAACATGTGTAAGTAGCATGTATAATATAAATAATCTAATAATAAATAAAATTATAATTAAAATTTTTAGGTGAATTGAAGGAAAATTGAAGAAATAAAATTATTATGCATGGATTTTAATTTATGTTACTTTTAAATTGGAATATTTTTTTTTTTTTTTTTTTTTTAATAAGTTGCACAACTTTTCTATACTCTAGTGGAAATGTTCAAAAATTAAAAGAAAATTTCATCCGAATAAAATATCTTAAACTTACGTTTCATTGATCTGACAAAAGAACTCGTTCATTTGTAACAAATATAATTACGAAGTATGTTGCGACATTGAATTAATATAAAAAGAAAAAAAAACTCGTATTAGTAAATTTGTTGTTTAATTGTTATTATAGGACAGATAAACGAGTAAATTTCATTTCCATGATTAGACTTTATTGCTACAACAAATGATTATGAATTCCATTCCAGATATTAAATAAGTACACAAGAAATATTCTCTTGCGAACTTGATGCACAAAGTATAATTTCACTAGCATACGCACAATGTTTTATAAGTTTTAATGTATTTTGAGAAAGAGGCGAAACTAACAGTGTACAGTTTTAGGTATAAGAGTCGCAAACCTAACCGACTTTATAATAACACCATACGTAGGTAGACAGCAAGGCCTGTTGGGTTAGAGAAATGTCGCGATCAACGTTGGTGATTCGTCGTTGCCGGGTACGGCATATTTTCAGATGAGCTTGGATATATCGGGCCCCCGCGCACCAGATGGCCATTAGTAGGCATTTTGTGTGGTCTCCAAGAGTGTGACTACGTGCGAGAGCGCGCTCCTATGCAAATTCGTCGCTACCTCAATAAATACCCTCGGATGGCTTTTGCATTAATTTCCGTGCGATCACGCAGTACATGTATTGGGGTCGATTTTTTCACTGATTCATTCGGTAGTTGTTTATTCGTTGGTACGACTTAACGGATGCCTACGTTTAGCGTAATATCTTTTTCTTATCGTGTCGAGTAAGAGCGATAGGAGAATATTATTAGACAATTTTTCACTTCGTTTGCCGTCGCTGATATTGCAAGCGGACTTTGATTGGAATTTCATGCTGATTAGAGTTATTTTCTAATCTTTTGTTTCATTCTTTCTTTCTTTCTTTCTTTCTTTCTTTTATTTTTTTCTTTAAACATTCAATGAAAGCGATGATAGGGCACACACATACGTACGTAAGCATAATTATTAGCAGTCCATCGATGTTTTATTATTGTTGTAGTTCAAAATTCATACATAAAAATTTTCTTCAATAATGTACATATTGTACGTTGTTTATGTACGTTTATTACGTTTTGCCGTGTATTTGATGGGCGAATTATAATTGTAATCTATAATTTGATTTTAAGTATGAATAATGAGCACAATTTATCATTATATCAAATGATTTTGAAAAATTCTTTCCCATGTTTACGCTCCCCTTAGTATCACGAAGTAAAGTCGTTAAAAATATTTGAAAATTTTAATTCCATTACAACCCTTAAAGTTCAACAACGATATGTTTATGAACTATATAAAGTAATTATTGGATCAGAGAAGAGACTTCCCCATGACAATGGACATGGAGGATTGAAACGTCTGTTTAAACATTTATAGGAATATTGCATATATCAATTAGATTATCGTTCTCTATATCGAGTCTTATGACATTAGAAATAATAAAATGCTCGTCTTATTAATCTATTAAACTCTGCTTACATAATCACGAGGCACAACGTTCAATTTTGGATCTTCCTACAGTCATTGCACAATGTATGAATTTAAAAATTGCAATTAAACCTAGACGATATTCAAGAGCTCCCGGCATTATAATTTAACCCATCTGCGTAGCACGGAAATGCTCGTATTCTAGACTCGACACGATCATTGGAGTCGCGATTGATCGAAAAGCCCGGGAAATCGAGCGCAACTCTGGAATCCCACAATCACCTATAGTAATCCTCCTTGCAGTAGATGTTGCCGTCTCGCGAGAAGCAAGTGAGTTCCGCGGCAAGGGGCAGTCGGCAATGACAGCATCGGAGGCAGGCGCAGTGCCAGGGTCGGTCGGCCGCTCTCAGGTACCAGCGCTCGGCGATCTCGCGGCCGCAGCCACCGCAAGCCAAGGAACCTCCGGTGGACAAATCCTCGCTCGCGTGCTGGCAGGAGAGGGAATCAGCGCTGCCCTGGCCACGAGCGCCCACGGCTCCGTCCACTGGTGGCGGTATGCCGCTCCCGCAGCCGACTTCCTTCAGCATTTTGCTTCGAATGGGGTGGCGCTTGGGCAACTGCTGCTACTGCTGCTGGCGTCCTCGCGACGATGGTGCTTCATCGTAGCGGTGTAAGCAACTGCCCGATGGGCTTCCTCGATAAAACTTGGATCAATGACTCATCGTCCTCATAGACTCTCGTTAATCTGGACAGATTGAAAAAGTCGAGGTTCGTTAACTCGGATATTTTATTATGTTGACGTTTGGAAAAGTAATTAAACTATTTAAAATTAAACCTGCTACTGCCTTAATTACAAATTATTAATTGCTGATAAAAATTTGTATTTCTAGAATTTCATCTAAGCTTCTCATTCGGTTAACAAATAGAAAATGATATTTTAATAAAAAAAAAAATAAAAAGAAAAAGAAAAAAGAAAAACTACCGGTTGGGAGAATTAATTGCATTGGTGGTTAACCTATTATGATTTACATTACTTTACAAAAGGACGATTATAAATTTTCATTCATAGCCATAGATTTATATTTGATGAAATTTTTTAATATTATATATATATATATATACTTAAAAAAAATTACGTAAAGAATGATTGTATAGAAGTTTATGTCATGTGTAGTAATTCATAGAGACACCCGTGCATGTATCCGTACATGTATGTAGTTACATTGCACGTAGTAGTTAGGTTTGGGTATTCTTACCATAGAGATCGACTTAATTGCGTTCGACGCTCATTTATACACTTATAAATGATCAAGAACCGTACGTCCTATCACAACATTGACAGCCGATATATCTTTACATACGCTTCCTTAGAGGATTGCGGCAAAACGTAAATACCAATCTATGAATTAATCGATTCGATTTTTCTCTTTCTCTCTCTCTCGTCTCTCCTCTCTCTCTCTCTCTCTCTCTCTCGTCTCTCTCTCATCTCTCTCTCTCTCTCTCCTCTCTCTCTCTCTCTATCTCTCTGTCCCACCCTTCTACCTCCTTTCACTCATTCTCTCATTTCTTCCCGATAATACCTAATGCATGTCCTTGTCCTTGTCTTTGGCAAATCAATTGCAAATTCATCTGTAGCTAATTAGTTCAACTTTGCACATTATCTCTCTGTTCGTCAGTCCCTATTTCTCTCGCTCCTCCCTTGCGTTCCCTCTCATTCATTCTTACTTTTTATTTTTCTGTATATCTTTCTTTTATTCACAGATTCTTATGTGTTTTAATGATATTAAGTGATATATTTGTACATTATTCCAAGAGTTGATATTATCAAAATGTTTTCACTTGTATCTCAATTTCATTATTAAGTATCAATGACTATTGCTATTGAATAATTTTAATATTATATAAATTATTTTTTATCTTTATAAAATTAGGATAGTTTATAAAATTAAGGTACAATTTGTTTTCACAATCATAAAGTATTCGAAACTTTTTTTTTTCAATTTTATAAATTCTATTTTACAGAGGTCTTCTGTCATATTAATTATAATTTCTGAAAATAATAATTGTAACGCCTACTATAATCCAGACATATTATCATCATAATATAAAGCAAGATTGAATTGAGCTCTTGTATCTTCTCGATGAAAATTTAATTAACATTTTTAATACAATTTTCTTTTTTTCTTTATAGCAATATTTACATATAATTTTCAATTAGAGAGTATAAATATAAGCATTTGAATAAGTAAATTATATTATTATAATATAATAAATATTTTTATTTATTTCTCGTCCATTTCAGACACATAAACATCGTGACAGAGAGAGAGAGAGAGAGAGAGAGAGAGAGAGAGAGAGAGAGAAAGAGAAAGTTTGAAGGAACGAGTAACTAGTGATATTTTTTGTAAATCGAAGATACATAAAACATTATTAATAAATAATTGAGATACATATATGAAACACCATTAAAATATGTAAGTGATAAGATATTAATATGCGATATAAAATAAGTGTATTTATTGGTTTTCTATCAATGTAAAAACATTTGTACAGTCTGTATAAATCAAAGGTAGATCGATCGGAAACGAGAGCTCGTAAAACAGATATCCTGTAACTTTCGACTTTCTTTTCCATGCCCCTTAAAAATCCCTAACAGATTCCTGAAGCAAAGCACACGAACCCTTTCCCATTTCTCTGAGCCTAAATCGATGTAATCCATGAGTAGGCGAAGATAAAGAAAAACGCACGGGAATAGGGACGAAGTAACGTGGGATGCCAAAACGAAAAGGGACGAGGAGAGAAAAGAGGAAAAAGAAGACGGGCAGGAGAAACATAGAAAATATGTAGACGTGGATGTGGTAAGAGGGTGGAGGAGAAGGATGAGATCTTTCGGAGTGGGCGTTAAAGGGAAGTAGGACGCCTCCGGTGTTTTCGGCGGTGCGCAAGGGCCCACCGTATGTCACCGCTGGCGGCTCTTCAAGTAGTACCGGCTCGACCAAGAAATTTTAACGATCTTCCTCTCCTTTTCTCCTTTTCTCATTCTCTCTCTGATCTTTCATACCTACCTGGATTAACCGGATATGTAAGACACATACACACGCATATGCAATTGTCTATGTATATATATAAATATATATATATATATACACATGTATCTATCTATCTATCTACATTCATATATGTTTTTATATATATTTCTCTCTCTTTCTCTCTCTTTCTGTATACACAGAAAGAGAGAGAGAGAGAGTGGGAGAGCGTGGGGGTTGGGAAGAGAGAATCGAATTCCGTAGTTACTGTCTTTCCATGAATGCCCTTCAGTATAAGTGTGAGTCCACATAAAATCAAGGGAGAAAAATTAAGAGAAACTCGGGGTGGTATTTGATGTTCTGAACTGGTTTGCGAAAATATATATTTGCAAAGTATTCAAGCAGGAAAAGTTACCGACAATTTATAACTATTCCATAAAAAAAGCATTCAAATTATTAGCACTCATTTTCAAAATAATTCGAATTTTGTATATTTGTACAAATTATTTCTTTTTTGTTATCTACAGAATTAATTAACATACAATCAGTACAAAAATAATTTTTTAATTCTTCATGCTTAAGTTGCTTTTGAAAATGCTCTGTCCATCTGAGACGAGAATACAATTTTTATTATTCACATTAAGTATTTTATTGTAGTAAATTGATTTGAAAGTAAAATTTTTAAAACATCGATTTTAGAAAATAAGTTAAATTGATATCACTTCTTACAATCAAACATAAATTAATAGTATATCAAATAATATCTTGACGTTGATATTAAAAGTATTTTAGTTTAAAACTTTATGATAAATAATTTAAATCAATTTTCTACTTTTGTAGCGCTAAGCTAAAACAGTAATTTAAAAAAAAAAATATTAACGATTATTATTTAAACTCTTACTATAGTGCGTAAAAAAAGATTTATTTACATTATTAGTTATTTAGTTTTATTATAAACGCTTAATATTTGTGATATTTTTAAAACATGTAAAGTATCAATCATTTTTTACATATTTTGTTGAGATATATAACTAAACATTGTATTATTAATTTTTGAAGATTTTTCAATATCAATCAAATTATTAATTTTATATTAGAAGCTAATTTTTAGTGCGTTATTATTTGTAGCTTTAATTGAAACAATTTTATAAATAGAACAATACAAATTTTATTTATAATTAAAAAAAAAACTAAGCTAACCCAATAATATAAAAAAAATTGCTTTGCTACAATAATTTGAAATGATAAATATGGGTAAAGTAATGAAGAAATATACATAATGATAAATTAAAAAAAAAAATTACTTATGTAATTATATGGTTAAGATAATTTATTACGTGAAAATTTAGGAATAAAATATTCATTATTGAGAAACGAATATTGAAGTCGGTAGTGCACTGTAATTATATAGGTGATGGTTTTCATTCATTCATTAAATTATAAATGCATGCATAAAATCATTAATTATCAGACTCAATTTTTTTTTATTACATTTGAAAAATGTGGTTCAACATAATTACGTATGTTTTTTAATTGTTTGATTAATTAAAATGTATAATATCGATTACTGTTAGAAGATTTTTTAAAATTTGTTTGAACGTATATTTTTAAAATATTTTCCGACTTTCAGCGATAATTTATGGATCGATGAAGAGTTCATAATTAGAGTTCATAAGCTTACAATGATAGAAGAAAAAACGTAAAGATGAGTAAAAAGTATGATAGATTCTGTTTCATTTTGTATTTCTAACAAATTCAACACAGCATCAACGCTACAAACATCATCAGAACTTTGCTTGTACTACTTTTTACGCGAACGTACCGAATCGGACGAACTGGTTTTTCGGATAAAATCAGGCAACGATCGAGACTCTCCCAGCCGGTTGGTTATATCGCTTTATTTTGCAAGCAGTCAACGCGTGAGATGCCTAAGTGGTCAAAGGACATACGAGTCCTGTTTCTCTATAGACGTAAAATTCTGCGCTTTTTTCCAGAGGTTTGAAAGTCTAGCATATCCTGGGTTTATCTACTTACCAGAATTAATGAAGACGAAAGCCGACTGTCTCTAGTCCTTTTTATTCAATTTCATTATCTGCGAAATCGATATTCCAAAATTTTGTCACGTTCATAGTGCTTCGATACAGAACTTTGCCACAGTTAATGGAGCAAAAGCTTTCATAAGAACACTTTAAATACCTGGTAAGTGCATTTGAAGTAACTTGATGCTTACATAGAATTGTATTCACCATTTCACCATCACCTAAATATCACCATTTCTTCGAGGATATTACTTAACAGACGTTGAATTTTCTGTCATTTTATTCTATGTACTAAGCGAGATATTATATGCATACCGATGTCTTATAAGTCAATAAGTTGTAAATAATTTTTATCGAAATTTCCATGCGCACGACAGGTGAGCACCGCACTACATTCACCAGAGAGAAAACAAAAATGGATGTCCCATGTACACGATAATATTCAACCACTGCTGTCACAACACTGATTTCACACTGATTATGAAATTTTCTGCACCTTCTATAGAGTAAAATGAGTAAAAAAATATAATAAATGAAAAACAAAACTTGAGGAGAGAGAGAGAGAGAGAGAGAGAGAGAGAGAGAGAGAGAGAAAGAAAGAAAGAATGAGGGAAAGGGAGAGAGAGAGACAGAGAGAGAGACAGAGAGAAGAAGAAAAGAGAGAGTAAAAAAGACGAGAATGAAGATAATAGGAAAAAAGCAACACGAAGCTACCGCTTGCCTGTCAGCCGCGATGGTGCGCTACGAGAAAGAGAAGAGAGAAGTCGAGCTGCGCGGCTCTACGCGACACGAGTATTGGCGACCAGCGGCGGTGGTGGCACTCTTACTCTCTTTCTCTCTCTCTCTCTCTCTCTCTCTCTCTCTTTCTTTCTTTCTCTCACTCACTCACTCACTCACTCACTCACTCTTACTCTCTCACTCTGTCTCTTTTGGCATACGCAGAGCAGAGTCCGCGAATACAGGAACTCGAGGACAGATAGAAAGAGAGAGGTTTATTGTTGGGGGCGCGATTCTCTTGAGCAGTAGCAGCGAAGGCCGGCGGGGAGTAATAGAAAGCGAAAGAGATGGAATGATGGAGAAAGAAGGAGAGAGAGAGAGAGAGAGAGAGAGAGAGAGAGAGAGGAGAAAAAGCTCTGCGTCGGTACCAGGAGTAACACGGAGCGAAAGAGGGGTGGACAGAGACAGAGTTATGCAGTGGAGGTAGACGATTTTCTGCTAGGGCAGGGAGAAGATCTGATTCTATTGCTGCATCGAAAGTCTGAAGTATATTTAGTGAAAGGTTAAGATTTCCGGTCGCGGATAAATAAAGAAGGTAAATAATGTGAACTAATTGAAGACAAATAGTAAATAAGAGTATACATAACAGATAACAAGCAAGGCATGAAATAGATTGTAAAATCGTATAAAGATAGATATTTTTAAAGATGAGATAGATGGCAAGAGGGAGGAGAGCAAGGAATAAGGACAGAGATTATAATTGACGGCTCCGCGTACGGTAGTGCGGTAGGAGGCGTCGCGACGTCAGGCGTCTGCGCCTTAATGTTAAAGCGTTTGGCGCAGGCGCCACAGGGTTCACGGATCTGTTGCAGATCCATGAGGGGGAATCTAGATTGATATAGATAGACAGGGCCAGAAAGGAAGAAAAGGACAGAAGTTAAAAGAGATTGAGGGATCAAGAAAGAGACAATGTAATGTATTGAACTTGTGTACATTTTATATAAGTTCGCCATATTTTTACATACTTGGACAATATATCTATTTTATAATTTATAGATAATAATTTTACGGATGATTAAATTCTATCTAATCAAAAGTTTCTATCAAAATATAAAAATATAAAAATATAAAATTTTATACAAATATAAAGAAATCGAGCAATTAATTAATTAATTTCAAATAGTATATAATTTATATAACCAACAATTACTTCGCGATTGATCATTTTAATTTAAACACTTTAATTTAGACACATTTTTTCAACTTAAACTCCTTAATTCGAACTATTAACTATTTGCTAATTTTAAGAAAAATATAAAATGTTCGGCAAACTATAACCTAGGAGACCGCAAAAATATGAAACTTGTTAAACCTACATTGTGATTTATAAGCTCTGAATAATTATAAAATTTATTGTTGCAAAAAGACGAATACATGAAAGAAAATTCCATTGCAAATTACTTATCATCTAATATTAAAATTTCTTTTTTATAAAGGAATAATTATATAATACTGGATCGACGTATTTATACGGGTAAAGAGAGGAAGGAAATTGAATAAAAGAGTTTACTATATCATTATCATTTTTTTTTTTTCAACAAATAAATTTCCTCCCAACTGCTTTATATGGATAAATCCTTATACATAATAAATATAATTTAAGGCTTACATATATAAGGAAATAAAGACGAGTACTCAGTAAAATAGTTTAATACGACCACTTATATCTCTGAGCATTTTTAATGCTTAAGAACTCGACATTTATTCGAAATAAGTATGGTGGATTTTAGGACGTCTAAGAATTAAATTTTTATCAATAAAATAATTCTTAATTATTATTTTAGAATCAATAGATCTTATTATTTTTCATCATTTGAACGTTCGAATGAAATTGTTTAGGAATTGTTGAGGAAAATTTATTGATAATGTAAAAACATTTATAAGTAAAAATTTATACTTAAAAACTTTACTTTTATTTTACATGGAATGTAGTAGTGGTGAATCTGTCATACTACATAAAATCAATATGAATCTCAGGGCGTCAGAAAAACAAAAAAAAAAAAAAAAAAAAAAAAAAAAAAAAAAAAAAAAAAAAAAAAAAAAAAAACAATAATAGAGTCCTTAATTAAATAAAAATCTTAACTGAACCTCGTATCTTTTCTTCGATTTATACAGAGAGAATGTATGCTCATAGGTAATCACTGCTTGGATCACACAAACCCAACGAAGAGGCAACAGATACCAAGCGTGCAGAGTATTTTTTTTCTTTTCTTTTTTCTTTAATTTCTTCCATTATCTCTAATAATAGATAAACGTCTTCGAGACCCTTAACGAGTAAATAAATGATATGTATAATAGTACTACGACAGTCGACATCGGAAATGATATAATGTAATTCCTCGAGCGCACGCGATACTCCTGCAGTCTTAGACCCTCGTCGCGTTTAATCCGATCACATGTATGTGTGAGCGCCGATGCATGAGAACTCTTCGGACAATTACTTTTTTCTTTCTTTATTATTACATCTCTATATTTATATATATTATTTTTGTCATTGTATATTTTGTTAAGGAGAACACACACATATAGAAAAGTTTTTTTTGTTTAAGATGCTTTTTTTGTTCCAATGCTTCGTGATATTCTTATGATTTAATATAATTTATAATTGGCCTATGGGGATATGTAAGCAAAAATTTCAATATTTGAATGTAAAAAATTATAATGCCTAAGTGAATGTTTAGAAGAAACTTGAAGCAAATTGCATAATTTTCATTATAGAAGAATTTTCGTAAAAATATCCCGCGTACAATAATTACTTTAAAATAAAAAAATTGACTGCTCACACCCTATACGTCTTTGATTATCTTCCTCCATCAATAATTACACCGAAGCCGAATAAAGTTGGTTAGACAATAGCTAACGTATACCATTAACCGAGTGATTAAAAATCGAAAAGATCATCATTTTCCTTTGCTCATTTAACAAAACCCTTCAAACTTAACGTGTCGCATAATCCGAGAGCATCAACGAGTCTCGTGATCTTCTTCATGCGTATTGTGCACGTGTCGATGTCATTTGACGAGAGGGAGATGGAGCGAGTTGTGGCACACGCTTCCACACGTGGTGGGGGCGACGCATGGCCACACAAAAAAGGAGAGACAGACGGAAGGTAGCGAGCGCACGACGAGGCGCGGCTTCGTCGCTCGATACTTGCGCGGGGCTTGGCGCGCATAAAGCGAGAGAAAAGATCGCCGGCCAATGAAATCGAGAGTCCCCGATAAAGCAGCCGTGCCATTGGTCGTGCTCGACTTCCCACGCTGATGCCACCGTCTCTTCCCTTTCTCTTCTTCCTTCTCATGCACTCCCTTTTACATACTACTCGCTCACGACCTTTTCCGATCTTAAATTCGCGAATTTTCTTATCTCACACTTATCCTTATCCTCTAAATTTTCACTTTTATTTTTTATACGTCGCATATACTTATAAAAGGCCAGAACTTCCCATTCTTATTTGCTTATGTTATTCCTTGCACTTGTATTGTTTTTATTTACATATGCTCACCTACATTAGAATTCATAAAATCTTTTCCTTTTATATTCCGATATGAAGATTATGAAATATTATAATGGCATTTTGTAATGTTCAATTTCGATATAAATCAACAACTTTTTTAAAATAAATATTAAAATAATGACTTGATACTTCTTTAATTTAAAGGAAGATAGTAGAAAAATAAAATAAATAAATGAATAATATATTAAGGTTAGAACTTAATGTACGATTTTTTTCATAATTTATCATTCCATTACAGATATTAGAATATAAACTTCATTTTTAGACACTTAATAATATGATTTCTTGCTTCTGTAATTTTTTCATAATAAAATCTTATCATAATAAAATTTTTGAAAATGTATGATTGATGCACAAAAATTGTTCACATAAATTCATATTATAATTTCCATATATGTATATATATATATATATATATATATATGTTATAATTTATATTATTCAATTATATTATGCAATTATAATATTATAGGAATAAGAACTTGATGGCTAACAATGTGCATCTCTTTTTATATATTAAAATACTAAGCATATCCTATTTAATAAAAACAAGATATTCTGATTTTCTCTTTCTGTTTATAATAATTTTCTATAATATAACAATTTTATATAATATAATAACATAGTAATGCAAGAATATATAGCCTTCCACAACAATTATGGTTTTGCAATTTTTATAAATATAAAATATAATATTAAATAATTGTAATCTTTTATAAACTATTATGGCAATAAATATCCCTTTTTTTTTAATTTTTAATAAAACTCCCATATACTTGTAATATAAAAAACAAAACAATTTAATATTATTAAAATTTCTTAAAATACTATTGAGAAAAATATCAGATATCTAGATAAACTTTGTTGAGACACAATTTATAACATATTAATATAATATGTGTTACATCAACTAAATAAAATGATCCTAACATTATCATGATCGTAACTCCTATACTTTTCTTTATTTACTGATGGAAAATGAATGAATTTTATAAGATCTATAGTATATACAATTTTTTTGTATTATTATGCACTT